CCTCCCCAAAGACATGAAAGCACCCCATTCTTATATTGTTCCTCAGCACCTGGGGCTTGGTCATCCCTGGTATGGACCCCTCTATGCAGAGGGCTCGAGGTAGACAAACTGCAAGTCCAGCAGGCTGGCTCCTCACACACAGACCTGTCTGAAGTCCTCCATGGCCCTGTCCTGCCAAGACAGCCCTGGCCTCTGTGGCTCGGCCCGTGGACTTCCTCTGGAATTCCTCCTTGGAGGTGGCTCGGGACCTCTCCTGACAGCCTGCACATTTCTCTTTCCTTACTATTATCTTTTCCCATTAGTCTGGGAAAACTGTGTGGGGAAAAAGAGTTGCACACTTCTTCCTTTTCCTCCCAAACCTTACATCTGAACTCTGAGTCCCTCTCCTCCCCTCCATGACTGTCCAGAAGGTCCCTAGCTCTTCCTACTTTCTGACCAGTCACGTGCTGTTCTGTAGACAGTACCTATTTGTAGTTAAATTCTGAGTGCACCATCTAGCAGAGGAAATGCTGATCAGGATTGCATGAGAGAGATGGGATGAGATGGAGGGAAGGCAGAAGAAAAGGCAGTAGTTTAATCCGGCCACTATGTTGACCTCAGTTCCTGCAGCACAGGTAGCAAGGGGGAGCTGTACCTCCAGTGTTAACCTCATTAGCATTCTCAAGATAATTGGCCAAATCATAAAGGTGTGGGGGAGAAGGACCAAGGAGATAAAGGAACAAGACAGTGCTTGCTGAGCAGTCCCTGGGCCCGTTCACATTGGAAACCCACAATCACAGTAGGCTTTTCGGAAGTGATGAGATTTCTCCAGAGCTAGGAATAGGGATCACTCACATAGTAGGGGACCCAGGGGAAGTGAATAAGAATCCCAAGGACCTGGAGAGTATAGCTGTGTAATGTGTGTCACACATTAAGATCATAGTAAGGAACATGTAACTATCACAGATATTCTGGAAATCAGAGGGATCCCAAGAGATGTGACTCTGTTACCATTTTGGTGGGTAAGGAGTGATCCCCTCGATGGGATTGGTAGAAAGGAGGGAAGTAACCAGCTGAAGGTTGCAGAGAGTAGATCTTAGATTCGGTTTTGGAAATAGTTCCAAAGATGATCAAGCAGTGGTTATAACTATGCTGAAGGTTGAATTAATGAAGTCGAGGTGAAGGGCATTGCATTTGAGGAAGTTACAGTGAAGCCAGACTCGGAGATGAGTCATCACTGAGGATGCTGGAGTTGCCAAAACGGGATTGTGATTGAAAGGAAAACAGAGCCAACGCTGAGGTCAGTGAAGAAAGGATGGGCAAGATAAGACAGCTGAGACACAACAGAGCCTGTGTGAACCAGCTCTGTGGCGTATTCTCTGCTAGGTTATACATTGGTTTTGCTAAAATTGTTTTTTTCCAATTATGTTATATGTGTAAACCATAGACTATCATAGATGTTATACAAGTATATCACAGAAAAATATATATAACTCATAAAACCCTAAACCATCTACATGCCCTCATTGTAAGCACTGCTACCATTTTGGTCTGTCTCTGTTTTCTGTTTTGGTGTGAAACACTAGTGCTTCACAATCATGTCTTGGTGTTCAGATAGGTACAGCTTTGCCTTAGTTTTTAAGGGTGAATGGTCTATGTCCATTGGTCTGACAATTGTGTTCATTAGTTTTTTGGGTATTCTGAGACACTACTATATTTCTGAGGGAAACAATGGTAATTTGAGTGAAGGACATTGCAGTCCACCTCTAGTTTTTCCTATTAATCTTCCTAACAAATAAAACTGTTCTAATTAGTCATCTCACAAAGCCTGGAGATAATGTGGTGAAGAAAATAGGAAATATCTCTTTGTACTCAAAAAGTTTCCATTCTTCTGAGAGTGATATAAAGACAGAAATAAATGATAAAGCAGTTTCTGATGCACTTTGGTAATGACAATAAGGAACTAAGAAGAATATGACTAAGTTCTAGTACCTGGGATGATGGTGGCCAAGTTCAGCTATCAAGGAAGACGCTCCGAGAAGGGTCAGCCTGACAAATGAGAAAAAGTCAGCCAAGTGCAAAGGAGAAAATAGATTTCAGTTAGAAGGAATAGTGCTTCAAGGACCTGAAAGTGTGAGCTTGAAATGAGAGAGGAACAGAAATGTGTCTAGTTTGCTGAAGGAATGAGAACTAAGCAGGTACTCAATCAAATAGCACCCCAAAGACCACTGTTAGATTTCATTCTGTGAGCAGTAAGAGGCCACGGCAGAGCATTACTCCAGAGAATCAAAACATCCCTCCCTGCTGAAATCTCACTTGTTCCCTGAGAACACAGAAGCAGTTAGAAAGGGATTCCCATGAACTTCGGCCACATCTCTCCATTCTCCAACATTTGTGCCACATCCCTGTGTCACCTCCTAGCAGCATGGATTATCTATCTGTTTCTTCCATGTCCAACTCTTCCCTTTTGTGCTAGACTCAATTCTTTCACATATTTAAAAGCAAACCACGAGCAGTCCTTTCCTCTTGTTATAGATCATTCTCATCACCAGACAATGTACTTTTCTGTCATTTAAATTATTTTTTAAAATCTTGTGTTCATAACTTCGGTCCATTGCTTCATTTCTCTGCTTCCCCATATAACAAAACCTCCAGAAGAAGGTGCTTATATTGACTGTCTTAATCCCTTTTCTCCATCCCTTCATGTACTGGTTGAAACCAGATTCTGAGTCTTCCATTTCAGTTTCCAATTGCTGCCATATTCCTACACCCATGGTCGATTGTTAGTCCTTATTTTACTCGACCTGTAATGCGAACAGAATTTGCTGCCTTTGACTTTTGGGACACTGCAACCTCACTATTTTTCTCACATCTTGCTAAGTCAGTCTTTCTTTGTTTCCCTGGTTGGTTTTTGCTGTCCTCACGGGCACGTTGATGATGGTATCCCGGGGTTCTGGTTCTCACGCCTCCTTTCTGACTGCACACACTCACTTGTGTACTCATCTACTTTAAGCACTACCTATAGGAAGATGACTCTCCAAATTGTTTCTCAGATCACAGCTTCTTCCTGTATCCTAAACTTATATTCAAATTGCCTACTTGACAGTTTCTTCATAGTTGTCTAACAGACTTCCCAATCTTACCATGTCAAAAATATGAACTCTTTCCTTTCCTTTCCTTTCCTTTCCTTCCTTTCCTTTCCTTTCCATGCTCTTCCTCAACCAAATTATGGGTATTTCATCCTTCTCTTTGCCCAAGCCAAAGCCTAGAGTCAGCTCTGGCTTCTCCTACCTCACTACAGTGCACTTTAACATTTGGCTGAGAGTCATCCTTTTAAATACCGGTCGTTTCTTGCACAAAGTTTCTGCACAGCGAAACTTAGTTTGCTCTCTTTGTTTCACCTGAGTCCATTTCTGCTGTGATTTCTAACTTCTGGAGTTTCATGGACTGTGGGTCTGAATTAAGGCGCCCTGAGCTGGCCCTGCTCAGGTAGACAAGGGGCAGCTGTACCTGTCTCTCTGCTGTCCCTGTCCATGCCACTGCTTGGCCACCAACTTCAGAGTATCTCTGCAGCCCCTTTGGGTCACACTGACTGAGGGTGCCTCACCTCCCCTTGGCACTGTCCTGGGATGCCTGTCAGGTAGAAATGGTGCAGATAGCATGATTTAGTGGGAAGTACCAAGAGTTTCATCTTGTGACCACCTTCTGTCCTGAGGTGACTATGTTTACTGTAAACACACTATTTTCCTTCCTTCCAGTGACCTACATGTTTGGCCAATTGATTGTACTTTGCATGAAAATCAAAGCCTCCTTTTCCTAGTTTACTTTTGCTATCAGCACAATGCAAAAATCTATGTGACTGAATTAGGTTGCATTTCATTAATCTTTTAAACATGAAATTGTAATGGTTCAAGGTTAATGAGATTTAAGAATATGTGTTGCTTAAATTGTGACTAACATACTTCAAAAAAAATCAGAAAATACCAATTATTTTTAGTAGCAGAAAAGTATGAATGATATTTAAACCTTGGTAAGCTTGACTGAACTTTGGTTACATTACTTAGCACCTTTATAAAGGAAGGATTTAGAGTATTTCAGAAAAGAATTAAGAAATTTCAGATTACTTTATTCTAATGCAGGAGATATGGTATTTGTGGCACAGGGTATAAAGTACTGAAAAGTTCAGGGGAGGAAGAGGTTATTTCAGGGAAGAGTGTTATCCCACTTTTCGCTCAACTGTCTCATTCACATAAACATATTTTCAAAACTTACAATGTTCAGGCATTGTATTAGACACTAAAGTTGCCACATGAATTTAGCACCATTCTTTCTCTTAAGGTGTTCAGTCCATTGGATCAGACAGTCATGTTAATAAATAATGGTGACATCATGTTGTGAGTATCACCCTAAGGTCGTGTACAAAGTCCCCTGGGACACAGAGGACAGGGCAAGAGCTCCACCTTGCACCAGGGTGTCAGCAGGAGTGTTAGGGCCAGCTTACGAAAGCAAAAGGTATTTGCACAGAACCTGGATAATGTGAAGGTCAAATAATAGTTGGTCAGGTAGACAGAAGAAGAAAGGAAGCTGGCAAACAGAACTATAAACACAAAGTCCTTGTTATAGGCTATGTATTTGCATTTCAAAAGCCACTCCTGTTGTCTTCAAATATGCTTTAAAAGAATTTAAATATATCATTTATTTTTAACAGAGTCATTGAACTAAGACTAAACTGAGAAAGTGATTTACCTGGTCAGAGATATTCCAGAAAACAGTCAATTTGAAAAAGTCAGGCAGGAGTTTGACTGACACTTGTCTATTTGAATATTGCCATGGTATATTCAAGGGATGAAACATCTTTAAACGTACTTTATTCTAATGTATTTTATTGCAATTAATTTTTATGGCTATTGATTCTCATTTGAAGCTTCATTTTAGCAGTGCTCAGAGGTAGGAATGGAGAGGAGGAATGAGATCTCCAAGGTATGATGGTAAATAAATGCTCCTTTCTCCTTGTGCCCTAGACTTAGGAGCGTTTACTTCTCATCGGTTCCTCCTCAGCGCATGCACCCTGGGGGGATGTGCAAACAGCTCCTGGGTCACACTGCACACGGCACAGCTGCCCCCTGAACACGTGGCACCCCCCGTTCTGACCGTCCTGGATTCTAGGACTGTACACGTACAGTAAGTAGAAATGCTGTCTCTATCACACACCACTTCATGCAGGAATCCCAGTGAGTTCAATCAGAAGAAGGGCTTGTGACATAAAATTAATTTTATTGTGATTAAATGCATAGAAGTGATTAGATCAGTGGTTCAGGGAACCTTTGATTATCACTTGCCAACCTAATTTCCATCCTGTCTTTATACAATCAGGCTGAGCCTCGTATGTACATAGGTTTTGTGCAAACTTCTGTAAAGGGAAGACTGACCACTTACATACGTATCAACCTTCCTGTGTGTACATATTTTTTCGGGGGTTTTTTTTTCAGTATAAACAAGAACCTTCTTATTTCCTTATTCCCTTGCAATTAAAATCACAAAGGAGCGTTCACATTGAAGCATATTCAGATCATTTCTGACAGTAGGGATTTCTGTCCATTTCCTAATAAATGAGGTATTAGATTGTAGTGCTGGGCTACAATCTAACACACCTCTCTCCTAACAACTCGTGTGATGCTTGTTCACATTTATCTCTCTTGGTCTCAGTTTTCTCATCTGTCAAAGTTCGCACTGAAGTTGCCACAGGAATTTAGCACCATTCTTTCTCTTGAGGTGTTCAGTCCATTGGATCAGACAGTCACGTTAATAAATAATGGTGACACCCACCGTGTTGTGAGTGTCACCCTAAGGTCGTGTACAAAGTGCTGTGGGACACGGCCAAAGTTCAGACTGTCAAAATTCAGACTGAATAAATTATGACATTCACTCAAGCTGGAAAACATTGGATTCCTATCCCGTTTTTCCATGTAAGCTCTCATGTTAGCTTTCAAGTACTCTTGAGCTGAACCACATTATTTGCCCCAACAGAGTTCCCACTACTGTATTTCTCATTTGAATAAGTATTTCCTGTCTATTCTGCTCCTTGCCTGTCTCCTTCCCTGTCCTTCCACTACGACCCTCAACTTCCGGGATACCTTGGACTCTTCCTTCTCTCAGCCTCCAAATCCAATCCAGCTTTTAGGGTAAAATCATTCATATCTAGGCAGGGTGGCCCCTCATTCATGAAGTCCTTCCTGATGGCTTCAGGCTGTCCCGACTCCAGCTTCTTTGATTTCTATACTTACTCATTAACTCTGCATGCGAGTGCTGCTTTTTTTGTCCAGGAAAATTATGTGATTCTTTCTCCCCTATGTTATAAGTTCTCAGATAGACTATTTCTCCCAAATTTTGTTCAACAGTTTAAATTCAAAGTCAATATTCACTCCTACATTTTCATATTGTCAGCTATTTGAAATTATAAGTAACCTAAGGGGAGGGATGATGTCATATTTTCTTTATGTCACTTTAATAACCACTGGGGTATTTGAGGGGAATGAATCACTTTTGAGCTTTCTGTGTTTTTTTTTTTTTTTTTTTACTGTGGCACAAATCCAAGTTGCAATGTCCTTTGAAAATGCTGCACATTTCAATTTTGACTTGAATGAATGATGCTGCTGCTGCTATATTTTTCCATTCCAGGTGGAAACAACCGAGGAAACTCAATGGAATTCTGGAACACTATATACTATATGTTTCAAATCACACACATGATTTTACAGTTTGGACTGTCGTCTATAACAGCAGTGAACCCCTCCAGGATCTCATGCTACAGGACCTTACCCCTGGTAATAAATACCGCATCAAGTTGGGAGTAAGTTCACTTTAGTTTTATTACTTTTTCTTTAGTTCTATTACCCACCCCGTCTGTCCCATCTTTTCTCCCTCCCTCACTTAAAAAAGAAGACACCAAAAACCTCATGTGTTGATAGTGATACTGAAAAATCCTTTCATATCATATCTTAAATGTGAATTCTGTAGGTCCAATATCTGCATTTTTCGATATTATACAGCGTTAGAATAACCATCTCATCAGTAGATTCCCCCAAATCTAATTTAGGATTATCAGAAATTATTATTTCTATTATCTGTAGTGCATCATGAATATGTAAAGCTCTCTCAAAATGCTTAGATTAGTACGTTTATTTCCCTTTGGAGCTTGTGTTCATTGGAAAAACAATGCATGATATGAAACTTTAGATCTTATATTTTTAAAAGAAGATTTAAATAATACCCAGATATCTTATTGCACTCTGGTTTATATTACACTTATCTCAGAAGGAAAGTCATTTAATAAGACCTAAGGATCAACATAGGTTAGAGATTTTTTCCAATAGATAGGATCATTTTTTAAAGCAAAAATAGAACTTTTTACAAAGGTCCTTTAAAAGACCTTGATATTACTGTGGGATTTATACTCAACAGTCCTTTTGTTTTTGATGAAATATAATCTTTTTTAAGTTTAATAGCACATCTGAAAATAACTGAATATAAACATGAGATTGCCCCTATTTGTTTTAAGCACACTCTTCATTTTATAGCAATACCTATATAAGGATATTTGCTTTGATAAATGCCATAGAAAATATTCTGCTCTTGATTATGAATAAATTTACATTTATGTAGACACTGTGTATGCATTCATTTTACTTAACATGCTCTTGAATGCTCTAAATATCATACCATGAGAAAATAAACTGCATTCAACTATTGCTAACTGTCTGACTTGATGCCACAAAAAAGGGCAATCAGACAATGTTAAAAATTGTGTTCAAGACTGACACCATGTGCCTACAGGCTCAGCACAGCAGCTCAGCTTACAAAAGAGCAGTTTGGGTTCTTTATAGTTGTATCACTCAAGAAGTAAGAAGCGTACCAACTTAATTTTCAAAAGCTAACGTGAAGCCCACACTGTTTTCAAAATAGTGGTAGCATCAAAATCAGGAAAAGTTCAGTGACTTGCAAGTAACCAAAATTAAACATAAAATCTCTGTGTTCCCGGATTTTACCAGATGGAAGCAAAGGACATGAAGAAAGTTCTGTTGCCAAGGCGATTTTTAGGATAAGCTGTGCAGTCAATCAAAATCCAACTCAACACCCTATATTTTATAATTCTCTAATACCTGAAAAATAAACACCACTAACTTAGGAATCTGCTCCCCTGAGCTTTGTTTCAGAGTTTGCCACTGTATAACCTAAGGCAAATTCACTTAACCACATGGAGTTTTACTTTCTTCAAGCCTAAAATTAGAACATTGAGCTAAATGATTTTGAATGTCTTTTTGAGCTCTAAAATTCTATGATGCTAAAAAAGTAAACAGCAAATAATATCCTATGGGGCCAAACGATATCTGTCAGCTGCTGAAAAATGTTGATGTAGGATGTCATAAAGTGGAGAAGTCCTTGCTCTAATAAATGTGCTCATATTATTTTCAATTTCACTGTATTTATTAGGGCAGAAAATACCATCATGTATTTTCAGGAAGTATTCAACTAAAAGGTTTTTTTTTAACTTAACTCTGTTAAGCAGTAAATTAAATGAACCAGAACATTTTAGGTTCATCCTGGTTAATTGAGGGATTATTGTATATTTCACAGTTTCAATATAATAACTAGCTTTCAAGGTCATTAGATTAGTAGAGGGAAATCAGGTTCTCAGCAAAATAGAGCTGCCTTTATAGATTGTCTTAGCATGATGACTAAGTGCTGCAAAGCAAAACATACAGATAACAAAGACTTTCAGCAGCCTCTGGAATAGATGAAGATACATGGGGATTTGAACCAGTATGATTTACTTACTCCAGGCTTGGAGCAGGCATGGTACTTCCTGTGGCTTCATTTAATGTTTGCATTTGTCTCTGGTTTATAATCCCCTGAAACACAGGGATGGCATCTTGCAAAATTCTATGTGCAGGCTCAAGCACAGTGGCTGATGGAAAGCAGAAGTTTAGTGAACAATTCTTGCATGGATAAATGACCACTAAATATAATTATTTCATAAAGAATCTGAGACTTTTGATGTAATTAAATAATTTACTGGAAAACTTCAGAGTTTGGGATTGTGTGCTCCTAGCACCTCAAGAAATACTATAATCTGTTGCTACACTCAAAAAACGGCATTTTGAGATATGATAAAGTGTGATGGCTCCTAATACAGATAGTAAGTTAGCGATTAAATAAGGAGACTGTGGATACAGACAGGTTTCAAGATAGGTGTTGTCTGGCAACTTTCATACTATGGCTTAGCCATTTGTCACTTGGTAAGAATGAGCCGAGATTTTTGGAAATAATGAGTTTGACTTTCAAGAAAAGATTGATATGGATAGAGCACTCTTGTTCTTTTTCTTCATTCTTTAAAATATGCTTTATTCCTAACACTCTTGGGCTTCACTTAGCTGAAAACAAACTATTGGAAAATAGAATGTTAGTTCTGGATCTTCCTAATGTCTATAATTTTAAAAATAATAGGTATAATTGTATTATTTATGCATTTCATTGTCTCCCAATTGAACCTTCTTTTTGTTGGCTATTACCCATCATTTAAAAGTGGCATTATGGCTTTGTGAATTTTGTTTTTAAATGGCTGTAAGAAAACTAAAACTATAGGAAATGGGTTAGAACAGCTTATTTTAATGGCTCACAGGTTTTCAGGCCTTAATCGATCCCACTATTTTGTTTAGTTTTTCCAGTCAGCTGTCCACTGCTTTGAACACAGTGGCCTCTTGTGCAAGCAAATACAGCACGGTACCAGTTGGTTCCATCTCATGCAGACAGAGACAGCTAGCCTAGATGACTGAAACAACCTTAAGAACAAGCCCTCTAAGCATGTGCAGAAAGAACGTGAGCAAAGCAAAGCACAAGGGAAAGAAAGTTCACAGGTTATTCTGTTATGTCAGCAACTTCTTCATATATCATTTCGTTTACAAGAAAAATTCTTATATCTTCCTTAGATTTTTGAGGGGCCTCTTTGTCAAACTACTACTTTCCAGATCTCAGACGATATGGTCCAAAGAGCAGCAGTCTTCTTAAAGAAAATGTTTTCATTTATCTTCGAAAATACATAAATAAAATACAATAAATTCAGAAAGCAGAGTAAATTTAAATTCACATTCTGTTTAAAAATACAAGATTCTATGTCATATAGTGTGCTGTTTCTCTGGGGAGAGTTAGCAAGGGAAGGTGTTTAGGGTATGAAAACTGAAATAGTGACAAGTAGATGATTAGAACTGAATCGCTTTGTGGTGTCAGTTTAAGAACAAGATGATGCAACACTTTTCCTTTGATAACCTCCCCTCTTTTCCTGCCACATTTTCTGGCAAACTTTATCACTTAATTTTTGGTCAGTGATTTCTTGTGCTAGCAAGTGACATGTCCCAGAATTCCGAGTCGGGGTTTGGATACCTGATCAGTGGATGCTTCTTTGCTTGCATATCCCACCCTCAGCAGGAACATGTCTCCCCTTACACGTATGTGCCCACACCACAGCTGAGGATCAGAGGGAGCGCAGAAGTTGATCAAGGCCCCAATCGTATTGCAATTTCATGCCCACGTCACAGTTTCAGCCGTCTGAAACTCGCTTAAGCCGATGAGAAATTATTCTGGAGATGAGAGTTACTGCTGTTTTCTTATCACAGGAAATGAGTGTGATCTCCATGTTTGTTTACAATAAATTGTTATTTATATTTGTAATCAAAATTTGCAACTACAGTGGACCCTTGACTTATGAACTCGATCAGTTCCCGAGGGCTGGTTGTAACTCAAGTTGGTTGTGAATCAGTACAGCTGAGATCTGGATGTTTACCTGGGTACACGCTATAGATAACAAGAGGCAGATGAATCTTCCATTAACCTAATTAACCCAAGTTGTTCATATGTCAGGCCAGTCATAATTTGCAGGTCCACTGTAGTTACAACTGGGCAAATAGTATTAACCTATCGTATAAGAAAATATGCAAAAATCAGCCAGTCTTCTATCTTTAAGGAAAACAATGCTGACTGCTTTAAGTGTCAGAAAATTATTCCCCTAATACCTAACTGAAAAGCAGCGGACAGGCCAAAAGAAATAAAATGGTGCTTAAATTTTTTATGCTAGTAGTATCTATCTTGAAAATGGACTAAATAGCTGTCTACGTTTTACATCATTCAATGATCTTGCTTCATTTTCTTATTAACTGTGCTAAAATTTAGTGCTTTGTGAAAGATTTTTAAATTTCATTGTATAAATTGAAGTTGTAAACTGAAGAAATATGGAACACAAGTATAGTTTTTAAACATCATTGTTATATAAAGATATAATTGGTAATATTTGTTAGCTAGAATGGGCTGAATAAAACCCTGTTCATACATCTCAATATCCTGAAGAATTGCTTTATCAATAAATTTAAGAGTCATGTGCAGTTTATTGTGAATGTGTGTACAGAAGTTTGGATGTCTTTAGTATTCATGTCACCGTTTTGGGTATCGGTGGTAATTTATTAGGGAATGGGGCTTCTGGGATTATTTTAAATTTGTCACCCATGTTTTAACAAAGCCCTTCTCATCGGACTCAAGTAAATTATTTGAGCCTCTAAGCCATTAAACATTCACTCAACAATGTTGTATATTGATTGACTGAGAAATATTGTTTTATTTCATCCAACATGGTATTGAAATATAAACATATTGGTCCCTAAATAGTAACTAGAAAGCTCTTATATTTGCTGTACATCTTTCGCTACCTAGATATGCTTGTTCGTTCCTGAAGTCTCAGTACTTTGCTCACGTGGGCTGCACACTCATGCATGTGGATGTGTGCACCTGTGTGTGTGTTGAATTCATTCTGCAACCTGTGTGTGAGGCTGCCTCCCGCAGGGCTGCCCACCCAGCCAGTGCCTGGCCTCGGTGGCCAGGCCTGGCCTTTAGGTCACGCCTGTCTGGTTATTTCTGCTTCCTGAAGATGCCTGCCTCATGGTCCTAGGAAGCGATCTCATTCAATAACAAACCTCAGCCTCAAGAGAGAGTTGTTGTGAGGGGTAGAAGCAACATTATTTAAAAGGATCTAGAACTTTTATTAGGAATTCCCTTTCTTCCATGGCCACCTAACCTTTATGAGGCAGAATAATGCTCTTTTCTGCACCCTGTGCAGGCGTGCACCGGGGGCGGCTGCATGGTGAGCGAGGCCAGCCAGGCCCTGACCCACGAGGACATCCCGGAAGGAGTGGCCGCCCCCGAAGCTCCCTCCTACTCCCCGGGCTCCTTTAACATCTCCTGGATGCAGCCGGAGTATCCGAATGGTGAGTGAACTCTTTTAGCCTCAAGTTAAAAAGATGATTAGCAAAGGTAAATTAATATTCTAAATGGCAGCTTATATGTGGTGCTTAATTTTTAATGATCATTTTAGCACCTAAAATACCTGAGATAGTATCATTGTCTGTAGTTGGGGAGATTGTGGCTTTTAGGTGAACACACAATTTTGGTGGCTCAAAAGTGCTCCCTTTTGATGGTTCTTGTGTACTGCATCTTATTGTTTAATGTGCTCCAGGAGAGGCGAAGAGAACGCATAAGAGTTCCCAAGGAGCACCATTTTGAGAGTGACACTGTATTGTCAATGACTTTCCAGTTTTTAACAGCTATTAGTTCTTCCTTGGAGAAGTAGGGAAGTAGAAAGTTCATGTACATATTGCATTTGAAAATTCATTTGATTTAATAAGTTTATCTTAAAAGAGCCCTGTTGGAACTCTGTAGTCTTTAACATACTATTTATAAATATTTCACCATACAGTTTTTGAACAATGCACATATTAATGCATACACGCTTTTATACTTATTTAACATAAAGCAGAGTGTGTGTTTCTGTGTACTCTTCATGTCCTTGTGCAGGTAGAAAATTAAGTTAGCCAGCTAAATTCACTAAAATAAAAACTCATTATAGAGAGTTTTAAATAGTGTTGGGGCAGAAATTTCTTTCTTTGCTGATCAGAACTGTCTCTAGGTTTCACACAGCCTAGTGTCATTGTTTCGTGGGCATTGAAGCTTGCATCACATAATGTTTCATTCCTCTTTGAGACAAACATCAAGGATTAATGTCAGAAATTGTTTAAAGCAACTCATTACTGAAAACTGCCATGAACTCTTTTAGCAGGGCCAAAAAGGAATGGAAGAAAACCAATTGCCATTTTATTAGTTTGTCTTATGTTTACTATGATATTAATTATTGCAGCCATCTCATTTTAATTAAACTTTAGGCAAATGCTGGAGATATATTTGAGGTAGCGGGGAGAGTTTCAGTAATTAAAGTGAGTGATTATCTCTGCTATTGAAGTTGTGCCTGTACTATTACAAATTTCTTAATAAAAAGTAAATAAGGATGTCTATTTGGTAGTATGTTTAGCAGTCAAAAACCTTGTCACACTTCTTATGCCACAAAGAAATCTATTCCATATGAAGCAGTGGAAATGTGGATGGTTTACTCTGATTGGAGTGGTGTGAAGGGGTGATTTGCCTATGTGTCCCTTCATTCCAGTTGTTAGATTGCAGATAAAACTACAACTGTACTCAGAATCTTTTTGGTTGCCTAGGGAAACACTTTCCACATCTCACAGATCTTTGCTTATTATACTTTGTGCATTTGCAAAGCAGTTTTAAGCATAACCAATGAGCAAGAAGAATCGGGGACCTTTGAGATATTTGTATTAACAATTGGATGGTATTCTAAACTCTTAGATTTAACCCCAGAAGAGTTTTTATTTTGGAGAAATGGTTAGACATTTAAAAGTAGTCTTCATTAAAATTTTTTCCCACTAGTCTTCTCCAGTTTCCCCACATTTTCCAGTGTTTCATGTTATTGTGGATTGTCTAGTGAAGGGTAAGCTGATTCTGGGAAAATATCTTATCCCCCTGTTTTCAAAGCCCTTGTGCTTTCCCCCAAACATCCCCAAACATCGAGGCACAATGCTAAACGATGTTTCGATATTCAGGTTCTTCCCCATTTACGAGTCAACCTTCACTATGTCACTCTGTAACACATCTTTCTTAGCTACCATGGAACATTTATGGCTTAATGTAAGGTTGGAAGACATGAGTGTGAGTCAGATAGACCCCAGATTAAAACAAAATTGTCTCTGACATAAAATAGCTGTGTTACTTTGGGGGATTTGCTACATTTCACAAATCCCAGGTTCTTCGGTTGTAAAACTGGAATTAGCAATCCCTGCTATCTCCTTTTCTTCATCTGTAGAAATCCATTTATTCTCCCATGGTGTTCTTATTCCATGAAATCATTCTACTCTTCCTTGAGTTTCAGTTAACTTTTACGCCCATTTGGCTGCCCACATAGCCTGTTTCTGGGCCTTCCACGATGGTACTTAAATTTCTTCGAGTACCTCTCTAACATTCCTACCACATGATAAGGACCACGAACTGTTCCTTCCTTTCCCTTCACAGAACCTAACACAGTATTACACCTTTTGTTAGTGACCAGTATTTAGTTCATTTAATAATTTCTTGTGAAAGTTGCCTTTGATCGGTGGTTTATATACTGTAAAGTCCCGGCTCTTATGACACCAAGGGAGATATAGAAAGATTTATAGACAGATTCTGTGATGTTTGTTCAATATATTGGATCCTGAAATATATTTCTTCAGTTGTTCATTGTCTAGGACTGGATTTTTCTTTGGGAGTTTGGATCTTCCTTTTGATTCAAGCATTTTAAATTTTCTTTTCCAGAATATTTCCAGTCTAAATGTAATGGAAATAGGCCCATATTACCAAATACGCTACATTATGTTGCTTTCTGATATCTGAATATGATGCAGGAGAGTATTACAACTCACAGTGAGATAGGCTTCATCCTTATTGTATAAAAGAACCCCTTCAAGTTATTCTCATGGATTCTCTTATATGAGAAATCCAAAGTATAAATAAATCAAATAGCAAAATAAAAGATCAATAATAGAAAAGAGAGAGTGAGATCTTTTACAAAAGGAAAGAGGACCAAGAGTTAGAGGTTAGGGAGAGGGGAAGGGGAGGAGGAGGATAAAACAAGAATCAAGCTGTCTTTACACATATACCAACTTCCCACAATGAATGTAATCATTATGTGCTACAAACAAGTACCAATAAAAATTAAAATTGGGCCAGGGATTTAACTCAATGATTCCACCGCCTGCCTCACAATCGCAAGGATCTGAGTTCGATCCCTGGTACCAAAAATAAATAAATTAAAATTAACATTTTTCTTATATTGGTCTTTTTTGTTCATTACTGCATCAGCAACTCTAAGAATAGTGCCTGGCAAAAAATAGGTGCTCAGTTAAAAATTTATTGCTTAGCACTATTCAAACTCCAGGAAGTAGCCAGTGCTGGGGCAGGACATGGAGAAATTGGAAGGCTCATGGATTGTGGGTGATGATGTTGAATGGTATAGCTGCTATGGGGAACAGTATAGAATTTTCTCAAAAACTTAATAACAGAATTGACATATGAGCCAGAAATCCCACTTCTTATAATATATCCAGAAGAGTTGTAAATAGGATTTTAAAAGGTGGGTATAAACCAATTCACTGCAGTGTTATTCACAACAGCAAACAGTTGGTAAGCCCAACATGTTTGGGTAGGTGAATAGGTGAATAAAATATGGTATATACAGTGGATATTATTTGGCCTTAGAAGGAAGGAAATCGTATCATACACAACAGCATAGATAAAATATCAGGATTGAAATAAATGAAAGAGACCAGTCACAAACGACAGGTACTGCATGCTGCATGACTCCACCTGGTGAAGTTTCTACATCAACCAACATTTAGGAGCAGAGAGCAGGTTTATACTTAGCAGGGGCTGGGCTGAGGGAAAATGGAGAGTCAGTATTTAGTGGGTGTACATCTTCAGCATTTTAGTTTAGTTATTTTTGTTGTTGGTTGTGGTGGTTTCTTTTTTCTTTTTTCTTTTTTCTTTTCTTTCTTTCTTTTTTTTTTTTTTTTGTACTGGCAATTGAATCCAGGGCCTTCGCACTGAGTTATGTCCCCAGCCCTTTTATTTAGATGTTGTTGTTTTTTTTTTTTTCTTTTGGTACCAGGGATCAAATTCGGGAACTTGCACCTGTGAGGCAGGCACTGGAACCACTGACCTAAATTCCCGGCCCCCTTTTATTTAGTTTTTGTTTTGAGACAGAGTCTCCCTATATTGCTTGAATTGCCCAGGCTAGGCTTGAACTTGCAGTCCTTCTGCCTTAGCCTCCCCAGATGCTGAGGTTCATGAGGCCTCCACCACACCCAGCTGAGTTCCAGCCTTCAAAGATGAGAAAGTTCTAGAGACCCGTTAACAGCATAAGATGTGCATGTAGCTAACACTAGGAGTTCACTTCAAAATGGTTAATCTGGTAAATTTTCTTATATGGATTTTTATCATGATAAAAAATGATGATGCAGAAAAGTAATAAAGTTCAAGAAACTTTTAAACTGGAAAAGAGATTAAGGACTCTGTTAGTATAAAATGAACAAAACGTATCAATTAATAATCACAGGAAGGAATATGCATAAAACATATTTGTTAAAGAAAAGATCGCACTATCTGTTCTGGGGCAGAACGTTTCTCTGTTTGTGTGGTAGAAACATATTTCCGTGACAGGTAAGAGTGACTTGACCTCATTCTTTTGAAGGACAACATAGACTCCCACCTCATGGAATCTGTTTATGTCACTCAGCATTTATTGAGAGGCGGCTCGTTTTTCATATTTTGCTTTCACAAAAACTGCTACTCACTATTAATTGCTGTTAAAGACCTAGCACTGTCTTAAGCATTGAAGCATTATCACTCACTTCACACCTACAGCTTTGCCTCCGTCCAATTATGTCGCGCATAATTCTAGCTTCTTGCTTCCCACACCTGCAAGCATGATGGGGTGACCCTGTGCTTCTCTAATCAGAGCCCTCTGTACCCACGGTCCCTCTGACAGAGGTGTTCTGCCCGGGCTGCAACTACAGCCAGCCCTCGAAACCTCTCCAAAGAGCTTCCTTTAGCTCCAAGGCACACAAGACCCTTAATTACGGAGGACCTGGACTCTTCCTTTGTACAGCATTAGCCACCGAACAGGAGCATGCTGAATTACTGTCTAAAAACTTCTGACCTGAATTGTGTAGACTCCAAATGCATAATTAGAATTATGTTGTTAAGAGCTTTTGGATTCTCATGAGCCACTTGCCTGTTGAGAAGCGAGGGCCTCAGAATCTGGAAGGATGTTTTCCTCCTACTTAAAATCTACTTTGCCAAAGCAGCATAGCTATTGACTATCCCC